CCATCTTCTTTCACCTTTATGAATAATATTCTCTTTTTCCCCTCCATCTTGAGGTTTAAGTGAATACCCAGTCTTCAACCCCCCACGCCTCTCTCTTCTCTGTCCCCTCTCATCTTTGCCCATTGTCTGTTTTTCGTCTCCTGAGGAATTTTTACAACAGAGCTCTAAAACAACAGAAACCATAAATTACTGCATGTAAATGCAACATATATCCAAGAGCCAATCAATATTTAGTATGAACTAGTATTTCATTCAATATTTCATTCTGTTTCCATACTTCTGACGAAGTGGATTTGTGTCCACAAAAGCTTGCATTAAAATTCATTCATTCATTCATTTATTTATTTATTTAATGATGATGATGATGATGATGGTGATGGTGATGATGATGATGATGATGATGAATCATCTGTTATATAATATAATAGGCACCACATGTTTTTGTCTTTTTTGTTTCTTTGGATTTGGCCTGATATGCTTTATACAGACTAACACGGCTACTTCTTCCAAACTTATATGCTTTACACAGACTAACACGGCTACTTCTTCCAAACTATTAACTGTGCAACTGAGATCCAAGTCCTATGGCTTTTATCGGTACCTACTTCCAGGAAAGTACGTAAAAGATTGTAGCCTAAATATAAAATGCTAAAAATTTCTAACCAACAAAAACGCATAGCAGACAGCCTTTCAGTTTGCACAAGGAATGGCAGTGGTAAGTATTCATTGCAGCAGAAGCCTGTCAGCAAATTAATTCTCAGTGCTTTTACACTTTGTTCAATAAATTAAGGGTCATGTTACAATCACAAAACATTTCCAAATCAAATAAAACTTTTTAAGTGTGTGTGAGAGGAGACTCAACCTCTAGTCATAGGGAGAGGGTAAAAACTCCAGACTAATAAAAGTGAAAGCAGCAAAGTGCCCTGTAGCACCCTCAAGGCTAAGATGATTTGACATTTATTTATTCAGGAACACTGGTGGCCCACTTCATCAAATCCCTAACCTTTAGTTACACCACCGTAGACACGCTAGTGATTTTTTCCCCACATTTCTGTAATTCCAATCAGAATGACATTTCCACCCTTGATAAGAGGACGGCCAATTTCAGAACAGTGTGACGTCTGTAATAGGTGCACAGGAACCTCTGCTAATCTCTGAAGTTCCATCTTCTACATAACTCCTGATTGCAGAGACCTCTCCTCTTTGACTGTACTACTCAGTCTACAAAGGAAGAAGGGCAAGGCAACAGAACTGACATAACATTAAGAAATTATAATTGCCAAATTATTTTTGTATCATGGCTTAATACCTAACAGGTATCATTTGCCAAAAATATTATTATGCATTTTCTCCTTTATGTTGTGTCCCTACATAGAACACCCTAATTTAGGTGTTAAATTCACCTAAATTAGGGCTGCACTGTTTACTGTGCAAGCCTATATGTAGATCTCTACTGAGGAATAAATTCTGTTGAGTCCAGTGAGGCTTACTCCCAGGCAAATGTGCATTGCGGCTTTAGTTCAGATGTAATCCCATATATGTTTAGTTAAGTCCATTCAGTTTAGTGGAAGGCACTTTTAAGTGTATGTGCACAAAACAGTGCTGCTAATTAAAGGTTTAGCTTCACTAATTAGGCAAAACCCTGCTTGTTTTCATCCTGTGTGTAATGGCCCATTCCACAGGCAGTTGCTTCCTCACCCCCAGGCAAAAATGCAATATCGGGAAGGGATCCAAGGCTTCCCATATCCCATCTATGCACCTGGGCACCATAGCTAGCTAACCAATTGTAAATCAGTGTGTAAAAGTTTAAGGCCATTGTACAGTTTCTTTTTCCCCAGTCAGGGTTCTGTCACTGTTAGCGATGAAGTCTGTCAGAAGTGGGACAGTTAGAGTGAAGTGTACTGTCAGCTATGTAAACAGTCAGTTAATCAGTAATGAAGCTAGTTGACCAGTTAAGCTCATTATTTCCCACACATTATGTTTGGGCTTCTTTTTAATGAAGAGCTGTAAGTAAATTGAAAACATTTTATTCTTTCTCATTGCCAGATTCTCCAAGTGAATATATTAAGACAAAAAGTGCCAACAGAGGTAAACTAACAAAATAAGGTATACTGAGAGAGACCTGAAGCCAATCGGCTCTGTAGGTTCCTGACTGAACCATTTCATCCACTGTATAATTAGAGGAAGTTTATTTTTTAAATTTTACTAAGCCACACTCAGTTTCCTCATGCACTCTGCCTGCAAGAAAATCCCCAGCTGGCATGGACAATAGAACTGTAGTCTAAAAAAAGGGGAGCCATCTTGTCTTTCCAAGCATTGCTGCAGGTAAATATCTATGAGTCTATTCAGAGGTAAAGTGGAAGACCACAGTATCAACCCATTTTACCTCTCACCACAAAGTCATCCAAGAAGGTTAAAGATAGCAGTCATAATGTGTTGAGACTGTAATAAAAATGTTGGAATATCAAAGTTGGAATCCTATATAATATCCTTACCTGGCAACAGGCCCACTGCATTACATGAGGTTAAACTCGAGAGTTTTGTAAATCTGAGAGGACTCTTTTGCATTTTTGAATTGCCATTTAGATTTGCAGTCCATAAGGCATAAAACTGTTTTTTAATCGTGTTATGAGCAGCCCTCACCCTCAAATGAAATCCAGCTGGCTTTTTATTTTAAAGCCAATCATTTTCACAGAACAATGTAAGCAGTTTCACAGCTGTAACATTTTCTTTCAAGTTGTCGCAGTATCTGTTTTAATTCCCAGGAGGAAGTGATAACTCAGACACGGTGCCGTGCAGACTGTGTTGTAACATTAATAGCACTATTGGGGAATCAAGTTCTAGCAAGCCCTCCCCACCAAAA